AAACCCTCAACCCTCAACCCTGTAGCCCCCCCAAGTCTCAAAAAAGAGCTTTGTGTCTCTAGGGCTTTGAGGCTTTATAGGGCTCGCGGGGGCTGTCTTGCCTGTAGCCGCGCAGCCCCCACCTGCAGTGCGGGGGGGGGAGGCTTAGGGGGTGTCGGGGTGTAATATAGGGGCCTTAATAATTAGAATAGGGTTTTGGGGGCCATTATGGTATAAGCACAAAGGGAACAGAAGGGAATACTCTTAGCAATTATTCCGACCCCACGTACAGGTTTGTGGGTGTGGGTTGAGGGGGGTGGGGAAGGGAAGAGGGGGGTGGGGGAAGGGAAGAGTTGCAACGGCGTGCCAACATCATTCTTTCATGAGCATGCCTCCTGCTGGCGCTTCTCCTCTGCCTCCTTGCGCGCTTTGGCTTGGGCAGCCTAGTCATGGCTGCATCAGCAAGTTGCTCAGCCAAGGCATGTTGGAAGGCATGTTGTCTCAGTCTGCTCACCACCCATTGTCACACAGCCCAGTTCGCCTCTTCCGCTTCAGCCCTTGCCTTTGCCAGAGCTGCCTGATGTTCAAGACACCACTAACACATGCAACAACGGCCTACCAACAACATCATTTCATGAGCATGCCTCCTGCTGGCGCTTCTCCTCTGCTTCCTTGCGAGCTGTAGCTTGGGCAGCCTAGTCATGGCAGGACGACGGGCAAGAAACACAGAACTTCACAAACACCACCGAATGCCTGCAGCTTCTCCGTTTCTGCCTTGGCCTTTTGGCGTGCCTGCATCAGCAACTTGCTCAGTCAAGGCATGTTGGCTCAGCCTGCTCACCACCCATCGTCACACTACCCAGCTCGCCTCTTCCGCTTCAGCCCTTGCCTTTGCCAAAGCAGCCTGCTCAAGACACCACTAGTACAATCAACAACGGCGTGCCAACATCGTTCTTTCATGAGCATGCCTCCTGCTGGCGCTTCTCCTCTGCCTCCTTGCGCGCTTTGGCTTGGGCAGCCTAGTCATGGCTGCATCAGCAAGTTGCTCAGCCAAGGCATGTTGGAAGGCATGTTGTCTCAGTCTGCTCACCACCCATTGTCACACAGCCCAGTTCGCCTCTTCCGCTTCAGCCCTTGCCTTTGCCAGAGCTGCCTGATGTTCAAGACACCACTAGTACAATCAACAACGGCGTGCCAAGATCATTCTTTCATGAGCATGCCTCTTGCTGGCGCTTCTCCTCTGCTTCCTTGCGCGCTTTGGCTTGGGCAGCCTAGTCATGGCTGCATCAGCAAGTTGCTCAGTCAAGGCATGTTGGAAGGCATGTTGTCTCAGTCTGCTCACCACCCATCGTCACACTACCCAGCTCGCCTCTTCCGCTTCAGCCCTTGCCTTTGCCAGAGAGGCCTGATGTTCAAGACACCACTAGTACAATCAACAACGGCGTGCCAACATCGTTCTTTCATGAGCATGCCTCCTGCTGGCGCTTCTCCTCTGCCTCCTTGCGCGCTTTGGCTTGGGCAGCCTAGTCATGGCTGCATCAGCAAGTTGCTCAGCCAAGGCATGTTGGAAGGCATGTTGTCTCAGTCTGCTCACCACCCATTGTCACACAGCCCAGTTCGCCTCTTCCGCTTCAGCCCTTGCCTTTGCCAGAGAGGCCTGATGTTCAAGACACCGCTAACACATGCAACAACGGCCTACCAACATCATCATTTCATGAGCATGCCTCCTGCTGGCGCTTCTCCTCTGCTTCCTTGCGCGCTGTGGCTTGGGCAGCCTAGTCATGGCAGGACGACGGGGAAGAAACACTGAACTTCACAAACACCACCGAATGCCTGTAGCTTCTCCGTTTCTGCCTTGGCCTTTTGGCGTGCCTGCATCAGCAACTTGCTCAGTCAAGGCATGTTGGCTCAGCCTGCTCACCACCCATCGTCACACTACCCAGCTCGCCTCTTCCGCTTCAGCCCTTGCCTTTGCCAAAGCAGCCTGCTCAAGACACCACTAGTACAATCAACAACGGCGTGCCAACATCGTTCTTTCATGAGCATGCCTCCTGCTGGCGCTTCTCCTCTGCCTCCTTGCGCGCTTTGGCTTGGGCAGGCTAGTCATGGCTGCATCAGCAAGTTGCTCAGCCAAGGCATGTTGGAAGGCATGTTGTCTCAGTCTGCTCACCACCCATTGTCACACAGCCCAGTTCGCCTCTTCCGCTTCAGCCCTTGCCTTTGCAAGAGAGGCCTGATGTTCAAGACACCGCTAACACATGCAACAACGGCCTACCAACATCATCATTTCATGAGCATGCCTCCTGCTGGCGCTTCTCCTCTGCTTCCTTGCGCGCTTTGGCTTGGGCAGCCTAGTCATGGCTGCATCAGCAAGTTGCTCAGTCAAGGCATGTTGGAAGGCATGTTGTCTCAGTCTGCTCACCACCCATCGTCACACTACCCAGCTCGCCTCTTCCGCTTCAGCCCTTGCCTTTGCCAGAGAGGCCTGATGTTCAAGACACTGCTAGCACATGCAACAACGGCCTACCAACATCATCATTTCATGAGCATGCCTCCTGCTGGCGCTTCTCCTCTGCTTCCTTGCGCGCTTTAGCTTGGGCAGCCTAGTCATGGCAGGACGACGGGGAAGAAACACTGAGCTTCATAAACACCGAATGCCTGTAGCTTCTCCGTTTCTGCCTTGGCCTTTTGGCATGCCTGCATCAGCGACTTGCTCACTCAAGGCATGTTGGCTCAGTCTGCTCACCACCCATCGTCACACAGCCCAGCTCGCCTCTTCTGCCTCAGCTCTTGCCTTTGCCAGAGCTGCCTCATGCACACTACCTTAAACCCGAAACCTTAAACACACACACACTACATCATGAGCACCTTCAACAGGTTCACAATGTACCCACTCTGGCCTCCGCCGTTGTTTTAGCATACCCAAGATGGCGGCCTAGTTAAGAGGGGTTCTTCAGGTTTAGGGATTCGATAGGGAGCAAACGGAAGTGGAAGATTTGAGTTGTAGTTGTTGCGGCTCCTCCGTTCAACCCTAAAGCCTCAAACCCAAAGTCTGCGAGAGACCCTCAACCCTAAACCCTAAATCCCAAACCCTAAACCCTAAACCGTAACACCCTAAACCCGAAACCCTAAACCCCAAACCCCAAACCCTAAACCCTAAACCCTAACCTAAACGGTATTAACGGGTTTCGTGGGGGGGGGGGGGGGAGGGCCTCCTCTGCTCGCATCACCAGCTCCTCATTGTCAGCCTCCAAGATGGAAAGATGGAGTGACGTTTATGACTGTTTAAGGTTTAGGGTTTAGGGTTTAGGGCTTAGGGTTCAGGGTTCAAAGTTTAGGGTTCAGGGTTTAGGGCTTAGGGTTCAGGGTTCAGGGTTCAGGGTTCAGGGTTTAGGGTTTAGGGCTGAGAACTTCGGCCGTGGGTGCAGAGTTTTGGGCAAACAAGAGACTGGAAAAAGAAAGTTTCGCCGCACTAGGCTCAAGGTTTGAGGGTCTCGGTTATGCAAGCTACCACCCTAAATCCGATAACCTTCAAACCTGAACCCTATACCCTCAACCCGAATATGAAGCAACCCGAGCTGGCATCCGGGGGCCCGAAGCCAGTAGGCTGGGGTTTAGGGTTTGGGGTTTAGGGTTTGGAGTTTCGGGTTTAGGGTTTCGGGGTAGGGTTTAAGTGGAGAGTTCCGAACTGGGCATGCGTTGTAGGCTTTTTCGATTTTGGGGTCTTTTTTCGGAATTTTCCGCTGTTCGCGGAGTCTTGGCGGTTGGAGCACGCAGCGCGGGAGGGGGAGGGGGGGGGGAGGGGGCGGAGGGGGGGGAGGGGGAAGACCGACAGCGCTCTGCAACGAGATTCACCAAATGAGCAACACCAACCAGCCATCAGTCCATCACTGTGCTTTTGCCAGGGCAGCCTGACACTTCAACAAAACAAACCGGCGAATGCCCAGCAAGGCACAATCCGTGAGCATGCCTCGCGCAGACGCTTCTCTTCTGCTTCTTGGCGTGCTTGCTTCTTCCAGAGAGGCCAATACGTTGGCTGTGAGTGTCCTTTCCATGTGCCACTTGTAGAGCAAGTGGTCTCGGATTGACTGCAGCAACAGCTCATAGAAAAGAAAAAGGCCCACGTTGGTATCTGCACCCAGCGTCCACCACCATCCCAGCAGCAAGGCTTGCGTCGGTTGTCTGTAACAGCCCAGCACCACTCGATATGCCCGGGTGATCGTTCGTTTCCAGCGCAGCGGAGGGCGGTCCAGGGAGTCACGCAGCCACTCTTGGTGGGACAGTTCACCCTGTCGTTGGGGGTACCATCGGAGCCTCCCTGTCCCATTCCCACCAGTGCTTCAGCTGCACACGCCAGAACCAGTGAATGGGAGAAGACTCGCCACGCATTGCCCAATAGTGAGCTGACTGCCCATTTCCACATGGTCCATATGAAAAAGAAAGATGCTCACACGGACAAGAGCACTCCCTATGGCGCACAGCTACTCCTACGGAACGAACCCCGAACCAAGCCGAACCAACGGGGGAAAAGGGGACAACACCCAGGGGCAACCCCCCGGAACCACGAAAAGACAATTCGAGCCGAGACACTTGCACCCTGCGTCGGCACCTTGATGCATACACGACACACGCTGTCGGCAGCAAGATTTCTAAGGAGCTTCTCCAGTGTGAGGCATCTGTTCTTCGCAAGGCATCAAGCTGAAGGCTTGCCACAGTCAGTTCTGCGAGGTCACTGCAAGCATGCCACCAGCATGGCTCCCGGCTGTCGTTATCTTTGGGCTGGAACTGGCAAGCTGCAAGGGAAGCGGCGACAGGTGCTGAAAGAGGAGTTGTGAATGGAGCCGGGGGGGGGTGAGGGGGGGGGAGGGGGGGGGGGGGGATGGGGGGGAGTGGGGGAGGGGGGGGGGGGGGTGAGGGGGAGGGGGGGGGGGGAGGGGGGGGGGGGGGGTGGTGGGGGGGGGGAGGGGGGGGGAGGGGGGGGAACTGAAGAAGACCGACAGCGCTCTGCATTCATCAGTCCATCACGCCTCCTCCGCGTCCGCCTGTGCTTTTGCCAGGGCAGCCTGACACTTCAACAAAACAAACCGGCGAATGCCCAGCAAGGCACAATCCGTGAGCATGCCTCGCGCAGACGCTTCTCTTCCGCTTCTTGGCGTGCTTGGGCCTGCGCCTGATCACCACGCACTGAATGTGTCCGAACATGTTGTGAAGAAGCGAGGCCAGCGAACGGCCCGGCACTGCTTCTGTGAGTGTCCTTTCCATGTGCCACTTGTAGTGCAAGTGGTCTCGGATTGACTGCAGCAACAGCTCATAGAAAAGAAAAAGGCCCACGTTGGTATCTGCACCCAGCGTCCACCACCATCCCAGCAGCGAGGCTTGCGTCGGTTGTCTGTAACAGCCCAGCACCACTCGATATGCCCGGGTGATCGTTCGTTTCCAGCGCAGCGGAAGGCGGTCCAGGGAGTCACGCAGCCACTCTTGGTGGGACAGTTCACCTTGTCGTTGGCGGTACCATCGGAGCCTCCCTGTCCCATTCCCACCAGTGCTTCAGCTGCACACGCCAGAACCAGTGAATGGGAGAAGACTCGCCACGCATTGCCCACGCAGTAGCTGCCAGCAATAGGTGAGCTGACTGCCCGTTTCCACATGGTCCATACGAAAAAGAGAGATGCTCACACGGACAAGAGCACTCCCTATGGCGCACAGCGAACCCCGAACCAAGCCGAACCAACGGGGGAAAAGGGGACAACACCCAGGGGCAACCCCCCGGAACCACGAAAAGACAATTCGAGCCGAGACACTTGCACCCTGCGTCGGCACCTTGATGCATACACGACACACGCTGTCGGCAGCAAGATTTCTAAGGAGCTTCTCCAGTGTGAGGCATCTGTTCTTCGCAAGGCATCAAGCTGAAGGCTTGCCACAGTCAGTTCTGCGAGGTCACTGCAAGCATGCCACCAGCATTGCTCCCGGCTGTCGTTCTCTTTGGGCTGCAACTGGCAAGCTGCAAGGGAAGCGGCGACAGGTGCTGAAAGAGGAGTTGTGAATGGAGCGGCAAGGCAAGGGTGGCAGTGTGATCTGCGCGTGCGTGAAAACCGCAGCAGCGGCTGCCACAGACGGTCCAACAACCTACGCGACAGGCGCATTTCGTCACTGGTCTCGACTTTGCGTAACTCAGGACGCCTAAACTCTAACCCGAGTTCATGGTTGGGATAGTATTTTGGGTTGAATTTTCATTGTCTATTGAGTTTAAGTGCCCTTAAACGTGTAAGATGTTACCCCACTATGACAAAGTAACCCCTAAACCTAAACCCTATACCCTAGTCCCAACTGTCCTCCTTTGCATCCTGTGCCTTTGCCAAAGCGCCCTGGCAGTTGAAGAGTTATGCGCCCATCAATGGGGTTTAGGGTTTAGGGTTTAGGGTTTAGGGTTTAGGGTTTAGGGTTTAGGGTTTAGGGTTTAGGGTTTAGGGTTTAGGGTCTAGGGTCTAAGGTTTAGGGTTTAGGGTTTAGGGTTTAGGGTTTGGAGTTAAGCGTGTAGGGTTTGGGGTTTGGGCTTCCATTCGCCCTCCTGGGAGGCCGGCGATGCGCAGAAAGAATCTTCAACACGAAAAGCATCCTCATCTTCATCCCTAAAAACCTTCAGGAAACCGAAAACCCGAACTGTCTGCCCTAAACCCGAAACCCCTAAACCCTGAAAGGTGACCAAAGCCCCGAAAGTAACCCTAACTGTCCTAAACTGCCCTTGAACCCCTAGCTACCCTTTTAACAACTATACCCGCCCAAACCCCGAAACCCCCTAAACCCACCCAAAACCCTGAAGCCTAAACCCTAAACCCTAAACCCTAAACCCTAGACCCTAGACCCTAGACCCTAAACCCTAGACCCTAACCCTAAACCCTAAACTCAGGGCCTAGGTCGCCCCCCTACGTTGGGGGGCGGCGCTTAAGCCCTTTGACCTCGATGGCACAAGCCGACCCAGGTCGCTTGCCCGCCGTTTACAGCATGGGGGTCGGAACACGTTCTCCAGACCAGTACTGGTCCCTTAAAATAAAGTGAGTACCCTAAACCTTCAGCCCCTGACCTTAAGGAACTGGTCAGGTTTTTTGGCGGGTGCTGGCCCTCCTGCCCCCGCCCTGGCCCCCCTAGCCCCCCTGCCCCCTGGCCTAGTCTGGCCCTCCCTGCCCGCCCCAACTCCGCCCTGCCAAAACTGAATAGTTTTTAGTTGTGGACTGTTGTCTGAGTTTGGGCCTAAACCCTCAAAGGAATAGGTTTGGGTGGCTTTGCCGCCTTGGACGGCGTGGGGTGGGAGAAAAATGTTAGATGGCCCTCCACAATCAGGCCAAAGCTGCTCTTCGCACCTCACGAAGCTTTCGAGCTTGTTCCGAAACCTAACCTTCACAGCATCTACGGCCTATCACAGCAAACCCTAAACCCTAAACCCTAACCCCTAAACCACCCTAAACCCTAAACCCTAAACCCTAAACTCTAAACCCTAAACCCTAAACCCTAAACCCTAAACCCTATCCCTCATCCCACAGGGCCTCCGCTGCATTCGCGTCCGAAGGCTTCCGGCGCTTACTGTTCGCTCGCGGGCTTCCCTGCAGACAAGCACTTCAGGGAGTTTAGGGGTTAGGGTTTAGGGTTTAGGGCTTAGGGTTTAGGGTTTAGGGCTTAGGGCTTAGGGCTTAGGGCTTAGGGCTTAGGGCTTAGGGCTTAGGGCTTAGGGCTTAGGGTTTAAGGTTTAGGGGTGTAACTCTGGGGTTTAGGGTTTGGGGTGTGGGGATTTGGCGGTTTCAGGGTTTTGGGGTTTCGGAGTTTAGGGGTTTGGGGGGTTTTGGAGTTTGCGGATTTAGGTGTTCAGAGATAGAGGCTTCAATTCGGGGTTCTTGGGTCTTTGGGTGCTGGTGGGGTTTGGGGTCCCAATCCCCAAACCCCAAACCCCATACCCCAAACCCCAAACCCTAAACCCTAAACCCTGAACCCCCAAACCCACATGGCCCCCTCAGAGAGTTGTTGAGAACAAACAGCCGCGAGAGCTGCCGAGAGAGAAAAGCTCACAGAAACTCTGGGCTGCTGCTAAAGACCTTGAAAAAGGGTCCACGAAGAGTTTCCGAAAAAAACACCCCCCAACCCTAAAGCCCCAAACCCAAAATCCAGACAAAACCTGCAAACAGAACGGTTTAGGATTTTAGGACATAGGGTTTTAGGGTTCAGGGCTTGGGGATGTTGAAAAGACCACTTTGAACAAGCCAGAAACACTTCTCAGAGCTCGCCTGCTCTGCAGGCACATCGGCAGCGCCATCAACATCCTAGGACACCCGGCAGCACAAACTACTAATTGCTTAAGAACCTGGTACTCCCTCATGGTCCCTTTATCGTTCTACGATAATAACCCCAAAACCCCATTCGAATTGTTAAGTTTAAGGCCCCTCCCCTAAACCCGACACCCTGCACCAGCAGGCGCACCAAGTGGTCGGCGAGTCTAGGCGTTTAGGCAATTAGGGGGTTAGGGGTGTAGAGTTGTTGGCCCAGACCCCCTCCGCACAATTTGAACCCCCTTCAAGAGGTTGGAGCAAAGAGTCGGCGAAGCTGAGCCCTAGACTACTATTTGCTGAAGAACCTTTCAAGATGCAAAAACAAATTTTGCTTCTAAGGGCAATATAGGACCTATTTTTGGGGGGGTTCTTAGGCAAATAGGAGTAGATCCTAAACCCTAAGCCTAAAGAGGGTCAGGTTGTTGCTTTTCAAGCCCCCCAGGCCCTTGCGTCTGCGACTGTTTAGAGGGTTTATGGCTTTAAGGGTTCAGGGTTCAGGGTTCAGGGTTTAGGGTTTAGGGTTTAGGGTTTAGGGTTTAGGGTTGAGGGTTGAGGGTTGAGGGTTGAGGGTTGAGGGTTGAGGGTTTAGGGTTTAGGGTTTAGGGTTTAGGGTTTAGGGTTTAGGGTTTAGGGTTTAGGGTTTAGGGTTTAGGGTTTAGGGTTTAGGGTGCACAGGGCGTGTAGGGTTCATGAGGCTTCTAGGCAAGGTCGATTGGCTTGGGGGTTGAAGAACCTAATGGGTCTTGAGGCCATCGCTTCAACAGCGTCTGGTCTAGACCAGACGCATTTTAGAACACCCAGGTCTTGAACCCTTGACCCCTGAACACCCAAAATCCCCAACCCTAAACCCCAAACCCTAAACCCCAAACCCTAAACCCAAAACCCTAAACCCCAAACCCTAAACCCCAAACCCTAACCCAAACCCTAAACGCTAAACCCCAAACCCTAAACCCTGGACTCCAAACCCTAAACTTTCAACATCCTTGAGTAAGTAGTAAAGCCCTCAACTAAACCCTCAAAAGCCCCCGACTTGAGCAAAGCGCCCTACACCCCCAAACCCCCTAATAAGGGTTTAGGGTTTAGGATTTAGGGTTTAGGGTTTAGGGTTTAGGGTTTAGGATTTAGGGTTTAGGGTTTAGGGATTAGGGTTTAGGGTTTAGGGTTTAGGGTTTAGGGTTTAGGGTTTAGAACTGTGGGTTTAGGGTTTAGGGTTTAAGGTTCAGGGTTGAGGGTTTAGGGTTCAGGGTTCAGGCGTTAGGGCTTAGGGTCGAAAGCCCACCCGCTACACTCGGAAGAAGCGCAGGGCCCAAGCCCTCCGTCGCTTGGCGCCCTCGTCCGGGGCCGCTGATGCAGAAGGAATGGCCTCCTTGAGCTTGCGGTGTTTAGGGTTTAGGATTTAGGGCTTGGGGTTTAGGGTTTGGGGTTTAGGGTTTAGGGTTTGGGGTTTAGGGTTTAGGGTTTAGGGTTTGGGGTTTAGGGTTTGGGGTTTAGGGTTTAGGGTTTGGGGTTTAGGGTTTAGGGTTTAGGCTTTGGGGTTTAGGGTTTAAAGTTTAGGGGTTTATGGCTATGGCCCAACCTAAACTCCAAAGCCCCGACCCTGTAGGGCTTAGGGTTTGAGAAGCTACGTCTGGGCTTTAAGAGTTAAGTTTTATGGCTTCGGCTTTAGGACGGAGGTTCATGGAGCAAGTGTGGCGGCTGTACTTAGAACGGGTTCAAACCTTATTTCAATCAACCCTGAACCCAAAACCCCAAACCACGCGAGGGCTCAGGCCGGGGCAGCAGCGCGACCCGCGCGGTCGCCTTGTTGCGAACCCCTCCCGAAACCGACTCTGAACCCTAAACCCCAAACCCTAAAGCCCAAACCTGAAACCCCAAACCCTAAACCCCAAACCCTAAAGCCAAAAGCCCCTGCTGAGGGTTGTGGGTTGAGGGTGGGAATTCTCTGGTGGCGCCCGGAACAAACAGGAGCCGACCTGGAGGTTCATGCCTACGGACTGGCATATCACGGTCCCCTTTGGTTATTACTGGATAGAATAGGGAGCCCTTCCCTACTTGGAGGCTCAAGGTGCTTATAAGCCCAATTCTAACTGCACTTATAAGCCTCCGAAGTCCTCTAAGGAAGTTAGAAGTCGCCTAGCGATTCGGGTTCTAAGTACCAAGTAGAAGGGGTCCTCATGGGCAACCCTAAACCCTAAACCCTAAACCCTAAACCCCAAACCCCAAACCCCAATCCTTCTGAAAGTTGTGAATTCACCATAAAGCTCCAAGTAGGGGATGCAAAGCTCCAATTGCGGGATGGGAGCACCCCAAGCCCTAAACCAAACATCCTG